GATCGAAAAAAGGAAACCAGACCCAAGTCTCCTGCTGCCACTAAAGTCCCTTCCTTTATTCTCTCCATTACAATCATTTCACTCTTTTTAAAGTTCTGGAACTAAGCACAAATTATGTGAACCCTCTCTCATTAATCTGGGGGTACAGATCTCTGGCATACATCAAGGGAGTTACTTTCCGTGGAAAACAAGTCAGTCTGACAATGGTTCAGGAGCTCACAATTGCATTGTTTTTAAGAGCAAACTGCCTCTCTGTTCTGCCTTCTAAATTATAGGGAAGGGAAAATCCAAGCTCCTAAAAACGTTTTAAATAGACTGCATTGAGTGGCATGCCAACTTTGAATAACTGTGCCATCCAGGAGAGCATTATCATCGTTCTGAAGGACAGGGCTTCGGTCTTAGTATCAGAAGGGAGTTAACCACTCTCCATGTCCTTACCAGAAAGTCTCAAATTGCTTTCTCTTAATATCTTTACTAGTTTTATGCTTACCTAAGGAAGGAACTCCTTATTCTGGGTAGTTCATGATAGCTGCTTGCAAATAATTCTATTGGCTTTACATGGCTGCTGTCTCCAGATTTATTTCAAGAATCAAATATGTTGGGAAAAGGCAAGTGTGACAGAGGTGGGAGAAGAGGGGTTCTCCTTAACTAATTCTAACTTTGTCCCATTTTATAGAGCCCTTACTTCCATAAAGGCACTCTTTCTTGTAGGAAATACAGCCCTTGTTTACCTGGTACCTTATGCATTCTATGATTGGTGCCTTTTTGTTTTGTTTGGTTTGTCTGTTTTCTCAAAGTATTTGGAAGGGGGATTAATAAGAAGGATTTTTAGAGGGTGGAAGCAAGCATTTTTAATTGTACATTTTAGATGTTCTTATTTTATTTTATTTTATTTTCCCATTTATTTATTTTATTGCATTTTAGGTTTTGGGGTACATGTGAAGAACATGCAAAATTGTTGTATAGGTACACACGTGGCAGTGTGATTTGCTGTCTTCCTCCCCATCACCTACATCTGGCATTTCTCCCCTTGCTATCTCTCCCCAGCTCCCCACCCCCCACCGTCCCTCCCCTATTTCCCCCCAACTGACCGCAGTGTGTAGTGCTCCCCTCCCTGTGTTCATGTGTTCTCTTTATACAAACTCAGTAAGAAACATTTGAGATAATCTCTTACATTTTTATTTGCCTGGGACACACAAGATTATCTCTCATCAGCAGGAGAGTCTCTAAAACTATATTGTTTTGGTTTAGATTAGGCTTGCCAGATAAAATACAGGATACCCAATTAAATTTGAATTTAAGATAGAAAGCAAATAATACTTTTAGGATTTTAGTATTTGTCGTCCCAACTATTTCATGAGGAATATATATCCTAAAAGATTCTTTGTCATTTACCTAAAATTCAAATTTAACTGGACAGCCTTCTATTTTTATTTACTAAATCTGGCAACCCTAGTTTAGATATCAGTATTGAACTAACTGTGGAGTCCTCTGCCTTTGGAATTTTAAAGAAGACTAAATTTGTAGAAATTGTTTAATACCATTAAAAAAATAAAAACAGGATAAAGGAAAAAGAATAATGTACTATAGGAATTATATGCTCAAAATGTGGCTTCACTGTACAGATTGGAATTATCAATGCCGTCAATGTAAGGTTTGAATTTACAAACCTAGCGGTTGGAAATTTTATCATTTAGCACTGCAGTGGTGGTCAGTGTAGAAGCAAACAATTTCACGCACCTCTGAAGATGACTAAAAAGGGAATATTTTATGGTTGTCATCTTTGGGGCACTGAATTAATGTAGTATTATGTTTATATCCAGGATAAGTCACTTTTAGCAATATGATGTTAAATGAGTCTTTTATGTGTTCTGTGTCTCAGTTATTTCATTTTAAAATATGGGCTAACAATAGGTTCTCTTCCATAGGTTACTTGTGGGGAGAACAGAATAATGCATATAAACTGCCAAGCTCAATGCTTGGCAAACAAGTGCCCAATAAGTAATAAAGACTGTTCTTCCTCCTTCCTCTTCATCCTTCAGAAATATTTATCGAAATATTAAATGTAGAATTAAAATGTGGTTGATTCAACGATGAACTCCTACTTAACAATAAAATGAAATGGCACATACAACAACAGCATTACCGGATATTGTGAATACAATTTTGAGAAAAAGTGGCCAGACGAATGAGAACACATTGTGTATTAGTGGCATGTTTAACATCAGGAATAGGCCGCTTTTAACGTACTTGATGTTTAACATCAGGAATAGGCCATTTTTAATGTACTTGCTCTATACAATAGAAGTATCCTCATAATCATAATCATAAAGTAAGTGAAAAATAATAATTGACCAAGGATAAACAAGGGAAACAGTAAAAATAAACATATTAAAAGTAAAAATATTTAAAAATAAATATTACTACACAAAAAGAAAAATAAATAATAGGTATACTTGGCTTGGCTTTATTTTTTTAATCTGCTTCCTACATGTTTTTAAAATTACATGGAAAAATGTCTGAAAAAATATATTTACAAAAATGATGACTGTGACTATCATTTTGTAGTGGCAGGGTGGGGGATTATTTCTTTTTTTATTATATATACTTTCAGGAAAGTATAATAATGAAACTATACAGAAATAAGAAGAAGTCAATAATTATTTACTATATTTATTCCAGTGAATATATATTTTTATTCATAATAATAAATAAAACTACTTTCAAAAAGAGACCACTGTCTCTTCTTATTCACCTGGCTGAAATCACTTATTCAATATCAATAGCTAAACTCTGATGCTTTCGTATTAGCCTCATGGATCATGTGACCAGACTTCCTGTTGATGTGTTTCTCAGAGTGAGAAACAGGAGTGTGGAGAATGGGGTAAAGAAGTGAAGAAAGAGAGGAGGTCCGAAAGAGTTAGAGGTCATTCTAGGTTATTATTTCAAAAATCTCTTTAATCAGCATCAAAGTATAAAAATTGTGATGAAATAATTACATAAAAATTGAAACACATACGTATTTCCCAGTCTTTAAATGTCTTCCCAATCTTTAAATGTTAGCTATTATTTTTATATCCCAAGTTCTGCATTGAGACATGAGTAGCTTCTATCCCTTCAGGTAGAGCCAAAACTTTAATTTAGAGTGCCTTGGAGATTCCAATATGGATGGCTATCTTTGCATGACAATCCCGTGCTAACCTGACTTTGGATCCTTGCTCTTTCAAGAAGAATGGTTATCAACCATGATGGGGCATTATCACCTCCAACGGAGTATTTTAAACATCCAGATATCTGAGCTGGATCCAATCCCACTAGTTCAGGACCTCTGTGGGTGCACATTTGAAATTTTTATTTTTAGAAGTGTCATTTCTGTGCTGATGTATAGTCAGGGCTAAGCACTATTGCTCCAGGCAGAGGGACCTACACGATGAAAGGAAGAAAACCAAAGAGAAGTTGCCTTTCTATATTTCTAAACAAGCTACAACTGAGTGTTAGGTTTTTGGCAATGTTAGCTTATGAGCATGAACTAGAAGACTAATTATTCTTACAGCATCTTTACATCAGCAAAATAATGTCCCTTGGATTGACCTTTTCTCAAATCAATTTTTTTTCATTTAATTACATCTTTCATTCATAGGTATTTGATCTTTGAATTTTGCATACAGTAGGATCAATTTTTTTTATATAAATTTGAATGTTTGGGCTGGATTTTTGTTCTCTTAATTCTGAATTTCAAAGTTCATTAACAAATGTAACATTTATAAGATTTTCTGGCTAAGAAGAAACCAATATAGTTTTTATTTACAAGTTGACCTGTATAGAAACAAAGCTTTTCTTGTTTTATGAAATTATGGAAGGATAATTGATATATAATGAACTATATTGTATATAGTCAAAGTAAACAATTATTTAATTTTGACATCTGTATACACTTGGGACATCACCATCACAATCAAAATAATGTTATCATTCCTTCCTAAAGTTTCCTTCTGCCCTCTCTAATCTATCTCTAGGCAACCATTGATTTGCTTTCTGTCACTAAAAAATAGTTTCACTCTCTAGAATTTAAAAAATGTGGAATTATGGACAAATACTTTGGTTTGACTTCTTTCATTCACCTTTTATTTAAGTCTCGTTTGAGTTTTTAATTAGTAATATCTAGCTTACCATATATAGATCATACAATTTTTTTTAGATTTTTAACTGTTTCTTTTTTAATAATATTTAAAAATGTTTTATTTCAATTTTAATTTCTAATAATAGTACACATAAATAAAACAGATTATTTTGTATACTTGATATATCCCATGGTCTTGAACTCACTAATTCTAGTAGTGTTTTAATGTAGAATATTAGAGATTTTCTACAGGAAAAATCATTGATCTTCAAATGAATGTTTAGTTTTTCATTTTAAATCTGCAAGTTTTAATTTCTTTCTCTGCTTTGATTGCATTGGCTAGAGTTTTTAGTAAGATAGCGAGTAAAAGTGGTGAGAGCAAACATTCATGCTTTGTTCTTGATTTTAGGGGAAATACATTCAGTCTTTCACGGTTTATGTAATTTTACTTGCATGTTTTTTGTTTTTGTTTTTGCACGTGTTTCACAAGTTGAGAAAGTTCTCTTCCAACTTTGCTGGCATTTTAACCTTGATGAATGTTGAAAATTAAATGTTTTTCTTCCATCTGTTGAGGTGATCAAACTTTTTTTTCTATTTATGTTGATACGGTAACATACCGTATCAACAAATGTTGAACGAATCTTAGATTCCCCTAAACATACTATATGCTCTGTTTCTTGTTGCTTTATTTTCCTTTCTTTCTGATAGTATTTGGATTAATTTTATATCATAAGAGTTTATTTAATCTTCATTTCTAGGTTATTATTCATGCCTCTTTAAAAATTTAATTTTTACCCTAAGGTTTACAATATGCATCTTTAATTTATTAAAATATATCTTTGAATATTATGATTTTGCATGTAGCATAAGAATCTTACAGATTACTTTGAAGTTTATACATGTGATGACTGGGTTTTTTAACTCATGTGTGAGATGTGCCTTTCTTAAATCCTATGATGACATTAGCACATTACCCATTTGATGTGAAAAAAATTAAAGAGAAAAGAAAAAAAAGAAAAAAACCAGATTTTTACAAATCACAGTAGATTTCTCTCTCCTATTTGTTGTGCTATTTTTGTCATCTATGCTATTTTTTTCATAGTTATAAACATAAAATACATTTAAGTTACATATTTACATGTTAGTCAGTGAAATATCTTCCATACGCCAGGCATGGAGGCTCACACCTGCAATGCCAGCACTTTGGGGGACCAAGGTGGTAGGCTCATTTGATCCCAGGAGTTCAAGACCAGCTTGGACAACAAAGCAAGATCCTGTCTCTACAAAATATATAAAATGTATTATTAATTAGGTATCGTGGTGTATTCCTATAGATTCAGCTACTTGGGAGGCAGAAAGATTGCTTGAGACTGGGAGTTCAAGGCTGCAGTGAGCTATGATTGTGCCACTGCACTTCAGCCTGGGCACCAAAGTGAGACACTGTCTCTAAAAACAATTTGTTTTACATATATATATATATATATATTCTATGTATATATATATATATATATAATAGAAATACCTTTTACATCAATTAACACATTTTAGAACATCTTTTATATTTACATTTATAATTAATCATTTTCAGAAATTTTTCTTTCTTTGTACAGATCTAATTTTTTTATTATTCTGATTTTTTTTAATTTCTTAAAAAAAACGAGATACATGTACAGCACATGCTGGTTTGTTACATAGGCATATACCTGTGCCATGGTAGTTTGCTGCACCTATTGACCTGCCCTCGGGGTTCCCTCCCCTCACCTCACCCACTACCAGGCCCTGAAGTGTGTTGTTCCCCTCTCTGTGTCCATGTGTTCTCATTGTTCAACTCCCACTTATGAATGAGAACATGCGGTGTTTGGTTTTCTGTTCCTGTGTTAGTTTGCTGTCAGATCTAATTTTTTTTTTCTGATATATTCTGGTCTTCCTTAACACCGTTTTTAAAAATGTTTCTTGTAGTGCAGGTCTGCTGGCAATGAATTATCAATTTTTGTTTGTCTAAAATTATCCCAATTTCTTTTGCATTTATTAAAGGTATTTTCACTGTGCATAAAATTTGGGGTTCACAGTATTTTGCTTTAGTCATGGTGATCCTTTTACTTTGGGCTTGTATAATTTTTGACAAGAAGTCTGCTGAAATTCTCCCTTTTCTTCCTGTATATATCTTGTATCATTTAACCCTCTGAATGCCTTCAACATATTCTCTTTATCTTTTGGTTTTGAACTACTGGAATATGGTATGTTTAAGTGTGTATGTGCGTTTTATTTCATTTGGTATTTATTCTGCTTGGAGTTCCCCAAATTTCTTATATCTGTAGTTTGGTGTATTTTGTAATTTTTACAACAATTTTCAACCATTATTCTTTCAGATGTTTTTTCTAACTCACTCTTTTTCCTTTTCTTTTGGATGGATTACATGTATGTATGTTAAAAACTTTGATATTGTTCAACAACTTGGGATACTCTGTTTTTGTTTTTTACTTTCTTTTTTCCTTTGCTTATGTTTGAGTTTCTGTTAACAAATTTGTAAAATCACAGATTCTTTCCTGAGTTGCTTTGAGTTAGCTACCAAGTCTGTCAAAGCGTGTCTTCATCTCTGCTAACATATTTTTTATTTATAGCATTTTAAATTTTTTATGGTTTTAATTTATGATTTCATTTCATATTCCGTATTAACTTATTATATATACTTCATTGTTTAATTTTCTTAATAGTCTCTTTAAAGTTGGGAACGTACTTCACTAATGCATACCACCTCAGGTATAATGCAGAAATCCTACAATAAGATATTTCTCTTGTTCTTCCAAATGCCTTTGTACAACTGTCATATATTTTCAAAAATATTCTTTAAGATGAATGTATATTTACATCAATATATAAGAAACACTACAGAGGTATTCTGTGTAACATAAAGCCAGTTTCCCCCAATGGTAACATAGTGTAAAACTATAGTACAATATCACAACCAGGACATTAACATTGGTACAGTCAAAATACAGAACGGTTCATAACTACTACTATCTTATTTTTCCCCATTCCCACTTCCCTGTCACACTTGACATGTTTTTAAACCCTGACTTTTTTTTTGTATTTATTTATTTAATTAATTATTTTTTATTGTACTTTGGGCTCTGGGGTACATATGCACTTCCTACATCCTGCAGGATTGTTGCATAGGTACATACATGTCACGGTGGTTTGCTGTCTCCATCCACCCCTCACCATCGCCTACATCAGGTATTTCTCCAGCTGTTATCCCTCCCCATCCTCCACCCCCTCGCTGTCCCTCTGCTCCCCTCCCCTCCACCCCCCCCACCTAGCCCTGTGAGTATTGTTCCCTTCCCTGTGCCCAAGTGTTCTCATTGTTCATGACCTGCCTATGAGGGAAAACATGCAGTGTTTGGTTTTCTGTTCTTGTGTCAGTTTGCTGAGAATGATGATTTATAGATTCATCCATGTCCCTACAAAGGAAACGAACTCATCGTTTTTTATGGCTGCATAGTATTCCATGGTGTAGATGTGCCACATTTTCCTTGTCCAGTCTATCATCGATGGGCATTTGAGTTGGTTCCAGGTCTTTGCTATCGTAAACAGCATGGCAACAAACATACATGTGCATGTGTCTTTATAATAGAACAATTTATAATCCTTTGGTTATATACCCAGTAATGTGATTGCTGGATCAAATGGAATTTCTGTTTCTAGATCCTTTAGGAATCACCACACTGTCTTCAATAATGTTTGAAGTAATTTACACTCCCACAAACAGTGTAAAAGTATTCCTTTTTCTCCACATCCTCTCCAGCATCTGTTGTCTCCAGATTTTTTAATGATCACCATTCTAACTGGTGTGAGATGGTATCTCAATGAGGTTTTGATTTGCATTTCTCTAATGATCAATGATGAGCATTTTTTCATGTTTGTTGGCTGCATATATGTCTTCTTTTGAAAAGTGTCTGTTCATATCCTTTGCCCACTTTTGAATGGGTTTGGTTTTTTCTTGTAAATCTGCTTTAGTTCTTTGTAGATTCTGGATATTAGCCGTTTGTCAGATGGGTAGGTTGCAAAAATTTTTTCCCATTGTGTTGGTTGCCAGTTCACTCTAATGATTGTTTCTTTTGCCATGCAGAAGCTCTTAAGCTTAATTAGATCCCATTTGTCAATTTTGGCTTTTCTTGCTATTGTTTTTGGTTGATGTTTTAGTCATGAAGTCCTTGCCTATGCCTATGTCCTGAATGGTGTTGCCTAGTAAACCCTGACATTTTTCTAAACTGGACCCTAATCTATTCTTCATTTTTATAATTTTGTCATTTCAATAATTTTATATAAATGGAATTATATGATACAAATGTGACCATTTAGGATTGGACTTTTATCCCTTTCTGTGAATTTCTGGAGAGTTATCCAGGTTGTGTGTTTGAATAATTCATATTCTTTTATTGCTGAATAGTATTTCATGATATAGCACAGTTTATTTAACCATTAAACTCTTGAAGGACATTGGAGTGTTTGCACTTTTTGGTTATTACAAATAAAGCTTCTATATACATTTGTTTACAGGTTTATATGTAAACATAACTCTATTTCCATGGGATAAAATGCCCAGGATTGCAATTTCCAGGTCATATGGTAGTTGTATATTTATTTTTTAAATAAATTGCCAAAGTGTTTTTCAGGCAGTTTCCCAAAGACTACACAGTTGTACATTTCCACCAGAAACATATTCATAATCTAATTTCTCTCTATCCTCATCAACATTTAAAAGTATCTTCTCATGTTTTAAAAAATTTTAGCCATTCTGATTGATATGTAGAGATGTCTTATTGTATATCCCTACTGGATAATGACACTGAACATATTTTGATGAATTTATTTGTCATCTGTACAACCACATTGGTGAATTGTCTCTGTATGTACTTTGATAATTTTTTAACTGGACTCTGTTTTTTTATAACAGTTGAATTTTGAGAATTATGAGGGGACTTAACAGCTTTTGGAAACATGGAAATAAAAGATAAAAAATATAATGCAAATATAAACTTTATTTCTCAACATCAGCTCCATTAAATTCAAGACACTTTTATAAGAGATAATATCAACTATTTAGTTCATTCCTAAAACTGAAGATTCTGGAGATCTAACCATGTTGAAGCAGACCTTTTCTACATTATTAGCTGAAGAAAAATGGGTTTTCTTTAAAGGTTTTTTAAAGATAAGGAAACAAAAAGAAGTTATTAGAAGCCAAATCAGGACTGAAAAGTGATACCTAATGATTTTCCATCAAAACTCTCACAAAATTGCCCTTATTTTCTGAAAATAATGAGCACGAACATTGTCATTGTAGAGAAAGACTCTGGTGAAGCTTTCCCAGGCATTTTTCAGCTAAAGCTTTGGCTTTCTCAAAATACTTGTATAATAAGCAGATGCTATTGTTCTTCAGCTTTTCAGAAGATCAACAAGCAAAATGACTTCAGCAGCCCCCAAACTGTTGCTATGACCTTTGCTCTTGAACAGTCTGTTTTTACTGTGACTGGATCATTTCCACCTCTTGCTTGCTATTACTTTGATTGTGCTTTGTCTTTAGGATTGTATTGGTAAAGCCATGATTTTTTTTTTCTTCTGTTACAATTCTTTGAATAAATGCTTTAGGATCTTCATCCCATTTGTTTAAAATTTTTATTGAAAGCACTGCTTTTGGCTGCAACTAATTAGGACACAATAGTTTTGGCACTCATTGAATGGAAAGTTTGCTCAGCTTTAACTTTTCAAATTCACAAAAGTGGAACCAGTTGAAATGTCAGTGGTGTTGGCTCTTGTTTGTACTATTGTTTGCCAGTCCTCTTCAATTAGGGTATGGCAAGAGAAACAATTTTTTGAACTATTTTTCTACTGGTGCCCCCTGTCTATTTCAGGATCAGGGTAATTGTTAAAGTGTGAATAAACCCTCTACTTTAGTGAATCATATGATGCCAATAGTAATTTCT